GGAGGGAAGGCCGCGCTCCCTGGTGCTGAAGGCCAAGAAGCGACCCTTTCAGCGGGCACGGGGGGCTTCGGGAAACGAGCGGCGCTTTCTCTGCAGCCTCCCGCTTCCGCGACCTTGAGCCCTGTGCTCGGGGCATTTGCTCTGCAAGCTCATCTCCCGGGCTAACCATTCCCCTGCAATTTGGCAGCACTGCGAAATGTGTGACCACGCAATAGCTTTGAAGGGGGTTTTCTTCCACCGCAGCCAGGGAAGGAAATTGGGTTTCTGATGATGATGATGAGTTAATAGGAATATCTGGCAGCGTTTCACAAATAAACCCTTAAGGGACTCCAGACCCCAAACGGCAAACCGAGTCAGATCACATTAATCAAGCCAAGAAGGAACAGACTGAAAATTGGCAAGGGCAAACCAATTGCGCTTCTCTTCCTTGCTCCAAATAGTGAGACATTTAGACACCCGGTGCGGATGCAGGTGGACCCCTGCCACAGTGCCTGACCGTGCTGCAACAGCCCCACGGGACACTGCGCCCCGTGTTTCCGAGGGTTTGTCCGTGCCGTGCATTCAGCCTGGGCGATCTGCATTAGTGTCACGGCACAAGGTAGCCTTGGCCAAGATTTAGAGAGCTCTAGCCCTTTCAGGGCTGAAGGGGACCACGTGCAGCCCCCCCCTCCCACCCCTCTCCCCAAGGCAGGGTAACCCTAGCTGTGTCCTTAATTTTAACCACGGCAAAAACAAAGCCATGCTGCCGTGACCTCGCTGCTCCTGCCCACCTGCGTGTAACGGCCCCGTGCACCAGCCTCGCGCAGAGAGGCTCCAGGGCTCTGACACTGCTGGGAGAACATCCCCATACTTCCGAGTGGAGATGTGGAAGGGGCGGCGAGGCCCTTCAACATGGGACTTCAGCAGTTTCACCTGGTGCCTCACCCTCCTGCAGGCCAACCCTTCCACACAGCGTGAAGTGGAAGAGTTGCTGCATGCTCTCACGTGCTGTGTGCTGCTTGGGCGGTGCTGCGGGAGCTTTACCAGCCTCATACGCAGGGCCAGCAGCACCCGCTACTGCTAAGGTGGCCTGACCTTTCCCTTTATGTTTGCGTAGCACTTTACAAGCATCAACAGGGCAGGTGCAACGATCCCATGCTGGGTGTTTGCCTTGGGCTGATTTTATTTTTTTTAAGTGGAACAGCAGCAGCCAAAATACTTCTGCTGTGCCTGAGAGCAAGGCTTGAAGAGGAAGAAAATGTTTATTTTAATGGTAAAAAAAAAAGAAAGCCAGTGACTGTCCCTCAG